TCTGGCCAATCTACTAGAATTTTAAAAAAAGAAAATTGAAAAAGTTCTAGCCAAACTGACTAGAATTTTTTAAAAATCACTATTATCGTCCAACTGACTGGATTTTTAAAAAATCACCTTTGCTGTAAAAGTTATAAAAAAAAAAACACTATTATCATAATAATAGATCTAACTCAACCTCCTAAAATTTTTAAAAGAAGTTATCTTCATTGAAAAATTTCAGCCCATCTGACTAGAATTTTAAAAAGATTTGGATCAACCTATTAGAATTTTAAAAAACAATACTTGCTATAACAAATCTACTAGAATTTCAAAAAAAAAAAAAAAAAAAAACCTTCACTTTAATAGTTCTGGCCCAACTAGCTAGAATCTTAAAAAAAAATCAATGTCATAGCAGTTCTGGTTGAACCTACTAGAAATTTTTTTAAAAAAGTCAGAATAGTTAATAAAGTAAAAGATCGTACTGCCCAATAAAAAAAACAAACTATTGCTATATAAACTATAGATCACTACCCAATAATAAAATTATTAGGCAGTCTAAATATCTCAGAAGCAATAGCATATTTAGAATAGTTAATCTGACAGTGTTTTGAAAGAAAAAATTCCTAAGTCCTAATGATCTAAATGCTTTAGAACATATTAATTTGATATTTTTTTAAAAGTTATTTATTAAAGGTACATTCGAATATAAATTTTAATAAATTTGTTCAATTGTAAAAAACTTCAACTAACCAGCAAAATTATTAATTCAATTAGATTTTGCAAAGAAATTTTATAATTTTGAATTTATACACTAATATTATCGCAAAAATATAAGCAAAATTGCATGATCAATCATATAGATAAGTTGTGTGCAAGTCCATCTAAAAAATCTATTAATGAGTGATTATTCCGATCATTGATAATAGACCTTATTCTATTTTCTCTTTCAACTAGACCCTTTCTTTGTTTAGGACGACACTCACCATAGAAAATGCAATCAATATGAGCTTCGATGATTTGTTGTTCCTTTTGTAATTCTTGGATTAATGTATATACACCAACATGAGAATTACCAACTAACGTTGCCCACCGATTATGCCATCTCTCGACTACATTTTGAGTTTGAGGGACACTTAAATCTAAGCACTTATGTACTGACCATATTTTGGGGGAAAAAAGAGGTGCAGAACGAATCTCTTGACCATTTCTCATTACTTGCCTAAGTTTACCGAGAACATACGTTTCTTCAAACTATAAAACTAGTTCTCTTGCCTCTTGAGGCATTTGTGGTTTTAAAATATTGAATGCGCTTGGGATCTCACTAGGGGGTAAAAAAGCTAAAGCAAACAAACATCCTACTTTGATACTAAAGCATGTATTATTTCCGTATTTGCCTATTGAAACAAATAACAAATAAAGTTAGATTATCATTATACGTACAGTATACATACGTACATATAAAATTTCTAGATTTGCGCCACATAGTATATGACAGAATACAGCAGGTATAAATAAATATAATCTTACTTGCTAATCCATATTTTTGTATCTTCTTCCATCCGTTCTGCTCCAATTGAAAGAAACATGCCTTATTTATAACTCCAGGAAACATAAATCGTGATGCATTTATTGCAGCGACTTCAAAATCAGTGATGATTCTAGGAGGATAGAGATCAATTTCATTCTCTTCAGCAAAGTCAATCAAGCTTTCAAACAACCAGTTATATTGTTCTTCAGATTTATGTGACATTAATGCATATACGAGTGGGAGAATTCAGGAATTATTTGCAGCACCAACGGGTGCATGAATCGAATATAATTGACGAAAAATCGTAGGCACTGTATCGAATGTCCCGTCCATGATCCAAAATGGAGCACGAGATAAGTATCAAATGTTTTCTAATGTAGTAAAAACGAGAATTCGACTTTGACTCACTAATTGGTCATTAACTAAGAAAAGTTTGTCATTCAATGTATTTTAAAGATTATCTAGTACATCGAATTCGGCAATGTTTTGCGGTTGAGATGGTAATCCTGCATGTCTTACACATTGAATTTTCTATGAAAGGTGTTTGTTGAAAGAAGATATGGTCTAATTGCTTCAGGTGTATTAATAATATTTTCATGTATTATTTTAGAAGGCTTATCTCTTGTTTCTCATACTTGGCGCTTAATTTCAGAAGAAAACTTTGCGACTTTAGCATTATGTGATTCAGGTGCATGAAATTCATGAATAGTAAATTTTTTAAG